CACACACACACAAATAAATTATAAAGATTTAGACATGTATTTTGGTTTTTACTAACAGTTAGTTCTTTTAGGGAAAATTGTCAGAGGCCACCAGCAAGAGTTGGGAATGGCCCTCTGAGACTGCAAAAAAAAATTGTGAAAATCCCTGCATGAAAATGCTAAGAGCCTCCTCTATTTGAAAGAGATTCAGGCTTCTCAGCTTTCTCTCTTCTGGCAAGAAGAAAGTCGCTAATTTTTAATAATCCAATAAGTACATTCAAACAGTAATCCAGTATAAGGGAGGGAACTTCATATCACATCCCACTGCTTCTGTTTCAAACACAATCAGCTGTAGACAGTAGTGTTAAGTACTGGAAAGAATGGGTCCATGCCTATTAATTTTATGAGCACCCTTCTCAGCTTTCTCTCTTCTGGCAAGAAGAAAGTCGCTAATTTTTAATAATCCAATAAGTACATTCAAACAGTAATCCAGTATAAGGGAGGGAACTTCATATCACATCCCACTGCTTCTGTTTCAAACACAATCAGCTGTAGACAGTAGTGTTAAGTACTGGAAAGAATGGGTCCATGCCTATTAATTTTATGAGCACCTATTTACTAAAGGTCAGAGATTTTCTCTGAGTTATTTCTGCAGGAATAAATGTGCGTTCAGTATCGTATGTAAGATCCTAATATAATATAAGGATGAGTGGGAAATGGACCTTCTACATTTACTGAGCATGAATAGGTCTGAGGGCAGCATTGAAGTCCACAGCCAGGAAGAAAGCCAGGGAGGATTAGGCCTGACATTCATTAGAGATAGAGGGAGCTTTCCAAGTTTCGATAAAGAGACAAGTCAAACTTGGGAGTGATGGTTGGTAGAAGACTCCATGCAAGCAGATGAGATGTAGGAGAAGAGCAGTTGGGAAACTATGCTGAGGCTACATCTACACTGAAGCATAGCTCAAATTGCATAGTTTATTTTGAGCTCTTAGTGCAATGTAGATGCACCCTGAAAGAAGAAGAGCAGTTCCTGATAGCACCTAGAACAGCTTGACTGAAAGAAAATCTGGGATGGAAAGGTGAGAGACGGTGAAGGCAGAAATTCTGAATTGCTCCTTTAGGAAACTTTAGCAGCCACACAAAGCAGACAGAATGAGGCTGAAAAAAATAAGACCTGTCTATTGTTTGGATTACTAGACCACCTAGGTTTTCCTCATGGACCAGAATCTCCTGAGCTAAGTGCTATACAGACACAGCAAAGAGATGGTTCCCAATGCTCAAGAGCATGCTTACAAGGTAAGTAGAAGAAGACGACAGATAGCTACAAACCCAAGGAGTTCAAGAAAACAATGCAGCAGTATTGATGAGCATGAGAGGGAGTGGCCTTAGCACACCTGCAGCCTAATCCATATCTATTTTTTGTAAGCAACACCAAAAAGAGGAGTGTGAAGAAGGCTAAGCATGCATTTTGCAAATGTTTCCAAGAGGCCCCTCGCAATCATGAGGGACAGCAAGAGAGAAAGCACAGAAGTTGCTTGCTTGAAATGTTAACTAGTTGGTAACAGCATTTTCAATTGTGGGCCAATCAGACAGGAGCCAACATCCTCATACTGAAATAGAAGTAACTTCAAAATGCTACCAATCTATTTGTTGTTTTTCAAAATGTAACAAAACAAGTAGATGGTTTCATGGGCACAGCCCACTTCTTCAGATGATCAGAGTATCGGATATCCAGAACTAAAATAAATAGGGGAGAAGGGAAAAATGGGAGGGGGAAACAAGAAGCAGTGGGTATAAAAATATCCAGGGGAAAGCTGAGCTGGAATGTAAAAGGAAAACAAATAGTCTATAACAGTGTTTCTTGAACTGTGTTCCACGACACAGCAGTTGGAGCTGTGCTGTGGAGAACAGAGTTCAAAATGGCCACCCTTAAAGGGGCAGGCGACTTTTTTGGCTCAAAAAAAAATCCCTAGTGTTTCTCATAAAAAAAATTGCTTGGTGTTCCTTGGTCTTAAAAAGTTTAAGATACTCTGGTCTATAAATATCTAAAGACTGGATAGTCAAAAGAGGCAGATACAAACCATTAATAGATAATTAGAGAGGAAGAGTACTAACACCAGATACTACACAGACAAAGAATCATTGGCACCTTCATTGTTTGGTAAGTTGATAATGTCCCAACCATCTGGTATCTTTATTTAATCCACTAGCATGAGTATCAAACTTGTGAATGAATTGAAGTTCCAATCCTTCCCCGTGTATTTGGCTTGTAGAATTGGTCTGTAACAAAACAGCCACTTGAAGATC